CACATGTGAAACTAAGCAGAAATTTTAGGCAGGACTAAGCTTTACTTACCCCCAACCCAGGAAGCTAATGATTCAGATATACTCATTATTCACACATATTGGAAAGACTATGAATAATCATGCAAAATAAAAACAAAACAAAATTTTAAAAATGAAAAAAAAAAAAAAAAAAAAAAAAAGTGGGGGGGAGGCTGGAGGCAAACAGCATACCTGAATAATCAACTAAGGGTGTACGGAGATTTTACTCTTAAGACTAACTTTTTGAGGGGGTTGGAGGGGGAAAGAGGAGGTGATGCGGTATTTTTAAGAGTTAAGCCAGTTGAAAAACATGGCCATGTTTACAGGTACTGTACAAGACACCCCTTATCCTTTCCCAGGGGAAGGTGCCCCAGCCGATAGTGTTACGTTTGGTAAATGGATACATTTTGGCACTCTAATGAGACCTGCTACTTGACAAGCTCGCTGAGGGCATAAAGTTATACAGGCTACACTGTGGTAACACGAGGCTAAAGTCTATTTAAAATGCTTTCCTGGACAGCGAATGGAATCAGAAGGGATCCAGCTGGGAGATCCACTGGTTTCTGCTTCAGAAAGAGCCACAGCAGTGATTTGTCTTACGGGTGGATCTAGGAGCTTCACGCCTCTGAAAGCGGGATCAGCTGGAGGAGCAGCAGCGAGCAGAGAGCTGGCCATGGTGGGTGAAGACCTCCTTCCCTCATTAACGTGTGCTTACAGTCAGAGAGCTGCTTTGTGAGCTGGCTGCTGGGGCACGCCGAGTCGATCCCCCTTTCAACCATTTCCGTCACATTTGTTCAGGCAGAGGTGCGCCACGTGCCCCTCTGCACCTACACATCGTGGCCAGGGCTCCACACCTCTGCAGCCGCTGCAGGAAAGCAGGAGGAGCTGCCTTTCCATCCCACACCTTGCCAGACGCTCGACTCTGCAGCCAAGACGCGACCAGTTACACCGGAGGAGGATGCGGGAGGCAGAAGAGCCAGACAGTTCTCACAGGGCTGCACAAGTCCTCCGGGGCTGCTGGGACCGACCAGCAGAGCAAGAGGATGGAACTCTGAATACACCTGGGGAGTGGAGACCTCCAGGATGGCATTCATTTAGACAAGGTCACTTTTCTGACCATACTGGCACTTTAAGATGCTGTTGAGTTTGCAGACATGGAAAAATGAAATCCTACAGAAATGCCGGAGGTGAGAACCGACGAGGTTTTTGAGATTTCGGGGTTAGCAGAAGAAGGAACTAATATCATCACTGTCTCCATGATATTCTGGGACAATCTGATCTGAAGTTCCCGTCTCCTGGTCTGTATATCCAGGCTCCAAGACTGCCTCGAACCAAGGGTGAAGCAAGATCTCTGGAGCAGTGAGTCTTTCAGAAGGCTCCCGCCGCAGGAGGCTGCGGATGAGGCAGCGGGCTTTGGGGGAGACGTGGTCAGGAATACAGAACTGTCCACGCCGGATTTTGGAAAACAGAGTGCTAGGGTCCGAGTCATGGAAGGGATAGCGTCCCACCAGCAGGGTATAAAGCATCACTCCCAAACTCCACACATCAGCCGATTTTCCAGAGTAAGTCCCCGTCGTGTTTAGGATCTCAGGGCTGACGTATGCCGGGCAGCCGTGCTTGTCTGAGAGTGCATCGTCTTCACCTTTGATGATGTGCGTGTCTTCCAGGCTCTCTAGACGCAGCTGAGTCCTAGGGAGGGCAGGAGAGGAAGCCACAGGTGAGAAACAGCTACACTCAGTCATGAGCAAGCACAGCAAGCCCCTGCCATGGCCCCATTCTCTCTCACTTTGGCACTGAGAAAGGAAACACCTCAACTTGCAGCAGAGAAGTTGCCCAGATGCCTGGGAATGTGTAATGGAAGTGCTGCTGTGTGCATCGGGCCAGCACTCAGTGACGCTCATGTTTTTTTTATTAACTGGAGATTTTAACAGCACAGAGCTCTTGAGGAACACCAAGTCACCGCTACCCACGCAGGTTGCAGTGCCACTGCAGGGGGTTAATTGGTGACATGGCACTTTACAGCCACTGTGTGCCGTTCAGGCTTTGAGCAAACAGCATCCAGCTGTGCGATTCCACAAACCACAGCGCCCAGCTCCCCTCTGCACTGCTGAGGATCATTGCTTCTCCTAAGCTTTTTATTTTTTTTTTTTCATTTTAATTCGTAATTTATTCTTTTTGCCTTTTGGAGCTTAATACCGCACCCACCATCTCCAGGTAGAGATGGGCCGACCCCAGCCTCCTATTTTGGAGGGTAAGGGGAGCTCCCGTTGGCAGGGAAGCCATCAGCCAGCCCTGGAAGGGCTCTGCACTGCCTACCAGCCTGCTGGGGTGTAGATATGTTGGCTTCAGCCTGTCCTCAGCCTGACCTCGGCAAATACCCATTGGTTCTGCAAACGGAAAATATGACTCAATGAGAACCGTGGGCCCGGGATTGGCTGCGGGAGCCCTGAAACTGCACCTGTGCGAGAGCCCGCGTCGCCTGCCATTGCTTAACCCTCTTCTTGCCAAATGTGATGCACATGACATCGCCTGTGCAACACGTTATTTCCAAATGAGCGAGACTGTGTGCAACGTAACATTTCAACAAATGTTTCATCTTCTTATGGGAGGGAAAAGCTGCAATAGTTTCCTTCAAAGGAATAGCTTTCTTTACGTGTCAACATATGGCTGTTTCAGAGGGGCAGTGCTGGTTAATTTTCTTATCACATTCATAAAAGATATCCTGAAGAATCATTAGCCAAATTTAACAAAACAAAAAAAAAATCCCTTTTCTTTTGCATCAGTAGTATCACCTTACATTTTTATGCTAATAAGCACAACTCCATTACAGCTTTTACTTAGTTTTTTAACATTTCTTGGGATAAGCAGCTAGTCAAGAGTTACTTTTGTTGTATTTCAGACTCTGCCACGTGTGATGAAGCACTGCAAGAGCAGCAAACACTCCAGGGGAATACTGAATTATTTCCCTAATCTAAATTTAACAACTAGATTCTATAATCTCCTCTATGAACACAGGCTTTAGGCTAAGTTTTACTAAAGTGATTTTCTTTGATGCAGGATTCCCAAATCATTATTTAACCATGTCCCACCTTCCCTCCTGTGTGTGCCCACGATCTACGGGCACAGAGGGCATGGGAAGCACGGCAGGGGGGATAAAAGCCTCGAAGGGTTCAGCAGCATCACTCTCATCAGCAGAGTGGTTCAGCAATGAGACCCTACCCAAGTGCTGGGGCTCCCCCGTAGGTCACAAAGAAACTCTCCCGAGGAGGGACCAGAGCTCCAGCTCCTCACATCTCCTGCTCCCCCAGCTGGGCTGCTTCCTCCCGTCGGCACAACACCTCAGCCTCCCCCCTCTCCCTCTGTGCCTTTTATTCATTTGACACTGAATGAGCGGCACACATGACATCTTCTGGCGCTAACGAGCATCTGAACTATCATCCCTTTGTCTGCCAGCGGGTTTCACTGAACTTCTGCTGAATGAGAGGAAGCTCCCGGCGAGCTTCCTCCCTTTCATCAGTCAAGATCTAAGAGGGAGCGCGCCCCGGTTAGATCCGTGACCTACTACACACACGTGATGAAGATCTACTCGGATTGCTCGCAGGTGATGCCCGGCTGACGGGGCTGTTTCCACTCCCTGGGACGCTTTTTTTGTCTCTGGATGTGGCATTCCTCCCTCCCCACTCACCCCAGGGCTGGCTGCTGACAGCCACTCACCTTTCTTCATTAGAGAAGACAAATTTCCTGAGCTTGAGGTCACCAAGTACGATGGCTGACTGGTGGCAGTGAGCTACAGCGGAGACAATCTGCTTGAACAGCCGGGCAGCCTCCTCTTCCCTCAACCTCTTGCAGCTCCTCACGTAGGAGTGCATGTCCCCAAAGTCCTTTTCAAAGAACACATAGGCCTTGGTGTCCCCGAGAATGACTTCGACAACCCCGGTGATGTTTCTGTGTGACGGCAGCTGAATGTAAGGTCGGATCTTGTCCTGGTAGTGTTTGAGGGGGAACACCTGTATAGAGGAAATTAAACCCAAATTCATTCTCAAGGGCGTTGAAAGCTGCAGCTCGCGTAGCAACTCTCCCCAAACAATGACGAGGGAGCTGGAGGGGAGCCAGGGCTCGGCAAGATCGGCAGAAGCGGCTACCGCGACCCTTCCTGTTCGTTGTATATTGAAAGGCTGGGGGGTAAACTAAAACAAAGCAGCATTCCCACAGCCTTAGGGGGGAAGGCGCTCCGAGGTAAGCCGGAGTCCCGGCTCACTCGCAGGGCGTGCAAACGCCGCCGGGGGCTGGCCGGGCGTTCCCAGCCGTGGAGCAGCGGGAGGATGTTCGGCAGGGCTGCCCCCGGGCCGGGCGCTCGGGCGCGCCCGCAGGACCCGCTCCCCACCCGCGCAGCTCCCGCTCACCTTGCAGCGCAGCTCCCGGCCCGAGCTGACGCTCAGCGCCCTGGACACCTGCTCCCGCTCGGCCAGCGGCAGCAGCAGGTAGGAGGCGATCAGGCTGGGACCCGCCGCGCCGCCGCCGCCGGCGGGAGAAGCGGGGGCACACGGCGACCCGGGAGCGCTCAGGCAGTCCGGGGGGCCGCATTCGGCGAGCCGAGGGCACTTGGCGGCCGGCGCTTCCTCGGCGGGGCCGTCGTGCAGGGGCTGGAGGCGCTTGGCCGGGGCGCTGCGGCAGCGGGCGGCCGGCAGCAGGGACGCGGGGCGGCTCATGGGGGGAGCGGAGCGGGCGCGGAGCTACAGGCGGGCGCTGCGCGCTGGGCGCATCCCTTCGCTCTCCCCGCCGAAACCTCGGGCCGTGTCCACCATCTGCTGCCGAGTCCGCGCTAAAGTAGTTGGAGGCTTTAAAAAAAAAAATTAAAAAAAAAGGTGACTCTCCTCCTCCTCCCGGCCCTGACGCACGGGGAAATGGGAGGAGAGAGGCTGGGACACGCCTGCTCCGCTCCGCCCGCTGCTCTCCGCGCCCCGGCCCCGGCGCGCAGCCGGGCGGGGCAGCGGGGGAGTCGCCGCGGGACTTGAGGGGGCCGGGCGGGGACCCCCCGCTTCGACCTGAAATAATTATGCCGAGAAAGCGAGGCCACCTTCCTTTCCAGGATCTTCTCGTCCATGCAATTGCAGGTTCCCAGCCCCAGTTCTTACTTTTCACTAATCACTAAATAACCATCCCTCACCCCAAGGTTTGCATCACAGCGCTGTTGTGTGAGCATAAGCGTTTACTCATAAGCGTAGACGTAACGTGCACCATCAGAAATACTTGGCACTGGGTGTTTCCCATGTTAAAACTATATCTGCTGTCCGAAAAAGGAATAGCTCGGAGAGCCAGGCAGCAGCCAGCAGCTGCAGTGACCTGTGAAGAGCAGACTGAGAAGAACTCCACAAAGCTCAACAGCATGGCTTTAAAGGAGTAGTAAATAGACTTACAGCCGGGACTGGTAGTAAATGGGGGAAAAAAAAAATGCGACAAAGAGAACAGACAACAAATCATCCCTGGGGGGGGGGAAAAAAAAAAAAAAAAAAAAAAAAAGCTGACAGCTGTAGTTTTGACAAGAATGCTTCAGAAGGAAACTCTCCAGTTTTCTGTTTATATATATGCAAATTTTTTGTAATTTAGTGCTGAAGCTTCCCTAATATTAACACAGGGACCCTGCATTTTGTCATTCAGTAGGATCAACTCCTATTCTGGTTTGGTTTCCCCATCCTGGGTCTGTACAAGAGGCAGAGAGGGCTGAGGATGGGCCCCCCCAGCTCTGAAGCCCGTGATGCCACGTGTGCAGGTATTTGCTCAGATTCCTGATAGATAACTGCACAGCAAACCCATGCATGCCTTCAGCTACTTCTAGTGTATTTTAAGAAACACATGAAACTCTTGTGCGGGATGACTCATAGCATAGCAGTCCCATTAATGCATTTAAACATAAAACGCATATGCCATAAAGGGATATCCCAGGGCCTGCATTTCTTTCTTTCTTTTTTTTTTATCCCCAGAAATAAAATTCCGTTAATGCCTGCAGATTGTTTCTGAGTGATTCACCACAACTCTCAAAGCACGCTATTTTATTTGGTTCCTCTTATAGGTAAAACACATGCAAGTATCTATCAGACCTTTTGTTTTACTTTCCCCTTCCTGGAAGTTTAATGATTGGAATGCTGCTGCTGGGTGAATTTAGCTGCTAGGATGCCACATGTGTGGGCTGCTTCCTTCATCTGAGACAGCACAAGGTGCAGGGTGGGGGGGAAGGGTATCAGTACCTTTGGGAACAGGGGAAGGGTGCAGACAAAACAGCAATGGCCCTGCATAAAGGTTCTCATGGGCATTAGTAGTGTGTACCAGTGTCCCCTGTAGCTCTCAGAACTGAGATGCAGTGTGAGCAGGAATGAAGGTGTCAGTGTCCCCACCCTCCCAAAGATCCCCCTCTCTCAGATCACTGTCCCTGCTGAGGAGAAGGGCCATACTGAGGATCTGTTGCATACATTGTTGGAAGCTGCATCCTTCATCTGCCCAGCCTCCCATCCATTTAAAACCTCTAGGTCCACACCATGGGGACACAGTGGCACCTGAGCACAGTGCTTGGCTCAAGCCAAACAGGGGATGGCACCCACTGGTCCTGAGGAAGGGAAAAAAGCACCTGTTATCATCCTGGCTGCCCCAAAAAACATCTGGCATGTGAGGAGAGCAGAGGTACACACAGCATTGTACCTCACAGTCCTGCCACATTCTCCTGGTGCCTGAGCAGCCTTTTCTCACAGGGATTTCAGCAATTTCATGTTCTGTATGTGTGTCCTTGCTAACTGGACACACATAAAACTGGGTGTGCAGTCCCCAAAGGCCAGGAAAAGATTACCCCTAATCATCATCATGATTAGCCATTCATCTCAGAAGCACTGGTGGGTGCCCTCTTCTAGTTGGACTGTATAGACTAAACTAGTTGACTGTCTACATGTGACTGAGACAAACCAAAGCTTGAATCTCCCAGGTCTTTGCAAAATGGGTGAAGTTCTTGACAGAAGGAAACCTTTGTTGCTTCTTTAAAATGCCTGGCATGCTTTCAGGTACTCAAAGCCTTAATGCCATAGCTAAACATGTAGCAGCAATTATTACTCAAGTTAGTCTTATGTTTTGGGTACAGAACATAGGAAAAGGTCCACATCCAGACTCCCCTCCATCCCCACCAAATTCATTTCAAGATGCAGAGCAGAGAAGTGATTCCCACTTTGGTTTTTCTGGTTTTTCTAATTTTGGCCAAAATGCAAAATGAAAAAAAAAAGGAAAAAAAGGGGGATGCCAAGGATGTTGATGACCCGCATGGCATGTTCTTTTCCTTTTCTCAAAGGGCTGAAACTTGTTCTCCTTGCCCATCTCTGCCAGTGCTTGCATGTGCAGCCTTGGTGTGGTTAGGAACCAGTACTGAGAACAGGAGGAATTCCAGGAAGAGATTTGTGAAAAACTGTTGCAACATTTCAGTGTTATAAGATTTTTGGAGAAAATGGAACCACCACACGACATAGCAGCCTTGTGTTTGTTGCCATCACACCACTGGCTTTTAAGCATGCAGGCTTATCTCCTGCATTAGTTTCCTCCTGAAATCAAAAGCTATCTTATGGGGTCTTCCTTCTATTCCCTGCATAAGTCTTCATCATTCCATCTCCCCTTTCCCAAAAAAGACTTTTCAGGCTCTACCTGCTTAGCATGTGTGATGAATACTGTCATGGTAATTCCCAGTTGTGCCTGTGGTGAATTTGAGCCTGAATGGCTTTACAGCTCTTCAAAATGAACCAGGGCAATGTTACACATCTCCAGGGGACAGCACTGAAAATCATTGTGGAGCACAGATCAGTGCACAATTACAGACCTAATGCTGGGATAAAACATTGACTCTGTGGATGAGTCCTGCTATTCAAGTGCCAGAAAAAATACACTGCTGTGAGCCAGCAGAATACAAGGAACCATCACTTAGCCCTGGTGTTCCAAAGGGACTTGGTGCCTGTGCGGTGGGCAGGGATAACCTTTGGAAGTAATGTCTTCATGCCTGGCAAAGGACAACAGTGTGCAACAGGCACCTTCCCAATACTACCAAAGTCTGAGGAGCTCTCAGTCAAAGGATATTGCAAAATCGTTACAAAAAGTAGGTCCTGCCTTGGAAAAGGCCAGATAAAGCAAGCAGGACTGCTGGATGTCTCCTCACTTCCTGGAGTCCCAGCTGCTAGGCAAGGATCTGGGACTGCAGCAGAAAAAAGAGCCTGTGGGATGTGTATCACATAATGGGCATGTCCTAGCAGAGGGAAGGGTCTTACCCTTCCCTCTGCCAGATTTGCCAGAACTGTGGCGAGGTGAATATTGCTCTTCATATATTTTTTCTCTTTTTTGAAACAGACAAGCAGCTTAGTGCATATGTGAGATGAAGACGGAAGAATCCAGAATTCCTGGTGCTCAGGCATTGATCCTCCCATTCCTGTTATTTCATTGAAGGGAATTTTTGTTATGTGGTTTTCAAGCATCTACCTGCCTTGCCCTCAGCCAGTGCTTACACTCACCTGAGCAGCTGCTTTTCCTTAGATGCTCAGAAAATTATCACTGTTGCTCCAGTTCTCTGACCCTTTATCTCTATAACTAGAGCAGCCAGAGGCAATGAGAATTGTGTAACCATCTCCCCACTTCCCAAGTGCTTGGGACAGGTCTGGTAACTTTGATAGTATGTCTCATGGGACACACAGAATAAATCTCTATTAGATTAGGGCACTTATAAATAAACTGGCTGCTTGCTACAGAAAAAAATGAAAAGGTCTTTATTTTAGTTACTGGATGAGAGAAGCAAGGAACACAAATATTTTGGCTAATATTAAACTATTGGTAAATTATGAAAAATCAGTATTTTAAAAGTTATCTCAAGCCATGTAATGAAAATTAAACTACTGCCAGATTGAAAGCCAACAATTTAAAACCAGCATGTCATCTATAATCCAATGGTGTACAGAATTACCCTGCACAGATGGGGCTCAAAGACTAGTCGTATGGCCAGGTGATAAAGAACTCAAAGTAATGTTTTTTATAGCAGAACAGCATCTGTGATAACCCACAGCCATCCTCAGACACTGTGGAACTTGGCGGCAGATTCACCGCTGAGATATAAAACACATGACGAGCACGTAGTGACATCAAAAGGAGTGCAGTGTAATGGTGTTCAGATGTCTCCCCTCAAGCCCACACAAAAGCTGCTCTGAGGGCTGCTGGAGCTCAGAACTCTCAATGATTCCCTTTTGATAAGCCTGTTGTTATCAAATCCAAGGAGTCTTATGAGCAGCACCTCCTGACTGTTCCTTTGCTAACTGAAGAGCATGAAGGCTTCTTCTGTTGCCTGAAAGACGTGTGAAGGTTCAGGTTTTTGACCTCAAATCCTGTTTTTACTTCAGAAGTCGATTGCACAAGCGGACAGTGAATGAGTGTCTCCGTTTCCCTTGCGGTCAGAGAAGATCCTATTCATACTGAGTTTACAAGCAAACACTTCCTTTGGTAAGCTTCCCATGCAATTCAATTCATGTGCGTGCTTTCAGGCTCTGTCTTTGGGTCTGGACTAACATCAGAACAGGCAAGAGAGGCAGGCTCTCTTCTCAGCCCACCACAGCCTTTTCTGCAGTGCTTTGAAATGATGAAACACACTGTGTTTTCTGCACACTGCTGCAGTCCTGTCAAGTCACTGCGATTATTCATGCATCAAGAGGCTAAGCACATACATGGGTATCTATTGGATGATGTACACCCATTCCAGAATTTTACTTGCTTAACAATCAATCTAATGTTTTTGCTCTTTATAGTTATTGGCTGGGAGCCTAGAATCTGCTGGCACCTACACACAGGATTCTCCTCTGAGCATTCTGTGACCACGTCAGGTGTTTGAAATATTATGTATTAACAATAAGTACTTTATGACCAGAAAATAAATTATTATTTATGAAAGACTTGGAATTTGCCATCAGTGCTAGTCTGTACCTGTAGTGAGGAGCCATCAGCTTACGGTTTTGGCTGTAGTAACAGAAAGGAAGACCTGTCCTTGGGATATTCTTACATTTTCCATCCCAGGAAGCTCTTTTCTAAGTGCATCTTCACTGTATAATAAAGCACTATCCATTAGGCAAATGTTTAGTTAATGGACACAGCAGGATCCATACATGAAGATTTTTAGGGAATGTGAAGATTAAGGTTCACTTGAAATGGCAGTGAAACTTAATAAAGTTGCACAGTGAATTCTAAGCTCGTTCTGGCCACAGTACTAGAGCTATTCTTGAGAAAAATGTCATGAGGTACTTGTGACCACAGGTAGGTAAGACCTTTGTCATCAGCCACTCATGAGGAAACATGAGTATCCAAGAGGACATTGTCTAAAATAAGGCAGTGTGTTGGCCTTGGCTATTGAGTCATCAGTATCACTTCCTGCAGCCCCTGCTTTTGCTCCAGGTTATTTCTCAAGGGAGCACTGACTTAGTCTTTTTGATTCTTCTAGAATGAATAAGATCACAGCTCCAGAGCAGTAATGATGAATATGTCCTTGATTCAGAGGAATGTGCACTCCTTTTAGCACAAGTGTGCTAAATCTTCCATGAGATGCCTGCCTGATTAGCTTTTATCTTTATTCGTCATGGCTTCACTGATTTGAAAACTTCAGACTCTCTAGTTGTAAAATGGAGAATTCACAGGAAGAATCTGTTCAAGTGAGAGAGCAAGCTTAAGTGAGCAAGTGTCAATAGCTTGTGCCTCAGGGTACCTCTGAAAGCTGTTATATGTGGATCTCTCTTGCCTTTAATTCACTATTTGCCTAGACATTTCTTTAAACCCTCAAAATAGTTCCTCAAGTGGAACTTCTCTAGCAGAGACAGATTCTCACCAGTTTTCAGTGACAGATCCTTCTCAGCTACCCTGAGGTTTGCTGCATTTGTAAAGCACACCTTAAGGAAAAAGAAAAAAAAAAAAAACAAACCAACCACCTGACCTCTGAATTTCTTTTTAAAAATATCATTGCAAAATTTCTGACGTCAGACAATGAGACACAAATTACCCTGTGAACTGTTAACATATGCCTGTTTACATATGATATCTTATAGCCAAAGCAGATTAAGATTTGAAGGTTTAACTGCTGTTGAGTTTCCACTTCTGTGAATCATACAGATCATACAGCTTATTCATCACAGGCACTTATTTTTATTCTTTAACTCTTTCAAGCTACTTCTTCCCAGAGTGGAGTTTAGGGGGAACATGGGACACATGGGAACAGAGAGAGATCACAACTGCACAACAAACCCCAAACTTTGCAAATGAAAGAGCAAAGAGCTGCCATTAACTGCAGCCACCCCAGTGAATCAGTAGTGGTTTCTATCTTGCACCAGGTGAGCTGACAGGCACAGAAGCCTTCCTCAGTTGCCACAGTTAGTCTGTCCTTCCACCTAGTTAAGAGCCAGCTGCAATGGATGCTGATGGCCAACCCTGGAATCTTTCAATTTAAGGAGGAAAATTACTTGTAAGAACAAACAGGAGAGAACTGGTCGTGGCAAAATCAACAGCATAGCTCAAGTTCCAGGTTCAAAGGAAAAAAAAATACCAGTCATCATACTAGGATTCCTTGGATGCTATGTTTTAGTTTAAATTCAGAAATGCCAAACATTTTGGTGAAAACTTCACTGATTTCAGTAAACACAGGCAGTTTATTCTAGCACTTGAATGTGTGTGGTGCATCACTGATTCTAATGGGACTCAAGTACTCTCACCAGCAATGCTGGCACAAGTGCACAAGTGTCTGTCTTTTTCTGGATAACATGGCCATATTTTAAAAGAGGCATCTCTGCTGATGAAAGAAAGAAACCTACCTCTATTTAAATACACATGGCTATTCACCTCAGATGTGATTGTTATTAAAACTAGGCAGGCCAGTGCTGCCAAAAATCAGTCCATTTCTTTCAGGTGAAATCAAGAAGGATTTCAGAACTTCACTTGCTTTCAGGTTGTCTGATTCATTGACACTGCCTGGCTCAGGCTAGCAAAGGAGAGAAGGAAGATGATGTAGTTTGAAGAAATATCCAAAAAATACCTTTCTTCTTGGAGTGACCATAAGTGACTGTTTGACTATTTGTTCTTTTCATTTAAAGTTTTGCTTCAGATTTGTTTGGTTTTTTTTCTCTCAGATGCATCATCTTAAGCAGGCAGTCCACCTTATTACCTGTGGATTAGCTAACAGAGGCTGAGTGCAGCACTGTGATGGGTCAAGCCTCTTTTTCAGGTACGACAACAAGGTGTAACCAAGACAGCAATCTCCCTCACAGCATTACTCATTGGAACATGAGGGCAACAAACCATATCAGGAACTGCAGCAATCCAAGGCTATACTGGTACAAATGCCACAGGTAGCAAATCAAAACTGCTGCCACCAGTTTGTTCTTAAGAATCTGGGTATAATTTACCATTTATTATGTTATGTGTTATTGGAAGGCACACTCAGACACCAATACAAACTAAATTTGAGGTGCAGCACTTGTGGCTATGGAAAATGTACATATATCTTTGCATCTGAAAACTTGGGAGGCTGGCTATCACTAGGGATTGAATTAGATCTAAGAGGACAATCTTAATGCACCTCTGCCAGAAACTGCAAAGCTTGTTTAACCAATACAAGTTTCTGTTTCTGACTATTCTGCTTAGAAATGGTTCTAGAAAAAATTTAACCACAAAGTTAAAGATGAAACAAAAAGGACATTCCCTCCCCCTCCCTGTTTTGTTTTGTTTTGTTTTGAATGCTATTGTTAACATCCTCCCTTGTGGTATTTAACTGAAAAACCGTGACCCACCTTAAAAACTATAGGTTTGAGCCCTGAGGTATTTTAAAAGGGACCTGATTTTACACATAAAAATTCAAACAAGTACATACTGCTCAATCACCCCCCAATCCTTTTCAGCTATTTCAGCTGGGCTTCCATGGTAGAAGCACCCACGCTCACTGCAGAGTTGGGAAAGGATGGACCTCGGGGGTTAGACCACATAATGAAAATTAGCCAGCCAATTCCATGAAGTGTTTTGAACACAAAAGCCCAGTGCAAGTAATAATTGTTCAGTTCTCTTTTTCAGCTATGAAATCAGCTTGCAGATTAATATTCTTCAATTACAAAATAACAATTTTCAGCTTGAAGTGGTTTGTGCTCTTAAGTGCAATTGGTTTAATAATGGCCTATGAAAGGAGAGCTGTTAGCAAACAGTAACCCAGAGTGAAAACCTTAGCATATGGGTACCTCAGCTACATTTTACATTAAATGTCAGATTGTAAATTCAGAAAAATTACATAGGAAAATACCATCTAGCCCACTAAGGATCCCAAAGCTGAAAAAAACCTGTATTTTCTGCTTACATTTGCCAACAGATAATTGTCATCTGACTGCCAAGGCAGCTTCTTTTACCTATGGCTATTTCTAACTCATGTATATATATGCCTTATCTGCCTATAGATAGATATTCAGATCAATTTAGGCAATAAATAGTGTCACAAAATTTAAGTTCTTTTCTAGATCTGTGCCCAACAGCATAGATATCTGAAGCTTATATAAAGGCATATGGTTACACTATATCTGTACTATCTAAAATTTAGTTATTGGAATACCTCCATAAATAATTGTAGTTTTCTAGCCTACAATATTAAGGTAAAGCCTTCTGGGACCCCAAATGAAAAAAGCCTGAATTAAATGCTTCTGAATTTCAAAAGAAAAGCCTAAGTCAGGGCAGAGGGTTCAAAATTATAAAAAACAAGGCCAAATCCTCAAAGCTGAATGGTTGTTCTCTGTGGCCACAAACAACGTATAAGTGTGCAACACTTTCTGTAAATTCATCTCTGAGGTTTATGTTAGAGCACGGGCATGGTCCCAGGCACTGAAAATCCTTGCTCACAGTGCCCTACTCCAACCATTCCCAGTAGTTACAGAGACAGTAACAGAACTACCTGCAATATAGAGCAAAGCACTCATTATTACATGCTGGCAGGATCTGCATCTCTAATACGCTGAAGAAACAAGCACACTGAAAAGGAAGTTTAAATGCTGCAAAACATACTTTATTTACCAAATGCAAACTTTTAGAAATCAGGAAGGTAGAAAAAACCCCAACAAATTTTACTGGAATTCCTTATATTCCTGAGTTCAAAAAATGCTTTCAGTGGCAGTGGAGACCTTCAACTTTGGCTATAAATGAAACATTTAACAATGATCTGCCTATAAATGAAACACTTAACAAATATCAGTTATACAACCTATTTAGAATCAGCAACTTATCTCACAAGACCTCTAATAACAAATTTTCTTTGTGGCAGTAGCATATCCAGCTCATGTGTCCAGTGTTGACCAGCTTTGTTTTTTCTGACTGTCAATCAGTCTTTTAAGTATTTCATCTCGTACAAGATCTGATCCTTTTACATCAACATGGCTACAGCCCATTTTAGGGCATCTGTTGAAAAGAAAAGAGAGACTCCATTAAATTGGAAGAATTGTATTTGTCAGATACAGGCATTTGCATAACACCTGCTAGCATTTTTTTTCACTCTTTCTCTCAGTTCCTTGTTACCTCTTGTCCTCTTCACCAGCTCTATGTGGGAAAAAATAAATCTATCTCAACTGGTGAGAATCATCAGCTGAAGGAAGGAAAGAAGGTGCACAGTGAGAGATGGAGCCTTTCACCTGTAGATCACTCTCTTGCTGCAAGCACACAAGCTGCCTTCATCAGCAATGATATCAGCACTGCATGGACTTTCTGTGTTGCTTTCTCTCTCTGCAGTCCTCTAAAAACTGCAAGTAGATACTGCTTACCTTACTAAACTGCAGTGGAGAAGTATAATCGTCACTGGCAGATAAGGAGGGAAATTATTTTCTACGGAAACAAAAGGGAGTGAGCCTTGCCATGACTGACTGGTGAATCAGTGGACTATCTAGTTGGTGTAAAAATCAACCTGACTTTTTATGAGCTGTGAAAGCTCAGAAAGGAGAAATGGGGCCAAATTAACAGCCTCTAGATGATAATCAAATACAAAATGTCTTACAACTACTTGAAACAGCCAGATAAAGACAGCAGGGTAAAAGATATTCAGGGACCAAAGGTCATTTTCCTTTGGTGGCAGCCCAAACATACACAGATGGTATCTATAGTAAGAAGCAGCACTTTTCCTGAATTTTTTCCTCTCTTAGAGTAACTTTTGTCTGAAGTACTGAACTTACTGAACTTACACTCAGTACTCATAACTTTTACTCCGGATTCGTCCATAGGTTACTGTGTTTGTCATAGATCAGTCATTTAATTGCTCTGTGCCTCAGTTTTCCCATTTATCACCTTAATACAGCAATAGCTTGCCAGATTAATGAATAACAAGTGCTCAGAAAGCTTCCCACATTTCCTGTAAGCATAAAGTATTAGTATGTCCTTCCAGGCAGTGGAAAATAGTGAGCAAACCAAGAGACGTAAGAGTTGCCTCAAGGAGTGTGTGACAAGTCTGTCAGCACAGGCTGAGCGTACGTCAGCTGGAGGGCTGGCAGGCAGGCCCTGCACTGCCAAGGGCACCGAAGGCATCCTGTGGATTCCAACTGGGAAGTACTTGTGAGGAAACAGCCACTCTGTGTCTGCAGAGTGAGCAACAGCTCTGATTCCAGAGCCAGGCTAGTGAGGATCCTGCCCTGCTCTGCCAGGACACCTGCTCCCACCGGAATATCCCTGGCAGGAACATAGCCCAGCAGCCACGCCATGAGGCTGCGACACTGAAAAAGGGAACTTGTGGCAATAGCTGGCCTGGCTTCCCACCACAGCAGATGATGGGTTTTCAAAGTAAATGCATTTTCATGAGAAAGTTTAAAATTATAGTAGGTTGGTCAGACTGGGCAGAGAAAACCAAGGAGTCCTTCTTAATTTAGTTACAGTGAATCTGTGGCGTTGCTGTGTGTGTACTTTTCTACCACTGGAATAACTGCTGTAAAAATGGTAAGGCTGCCAGCTAAAATTCAATATTAAGAAGTGCCAGTGTTCAGACTGCACAAATAATTTTGGTTTGGGGATAAGGTAGCTTTTAAAACTGGGTGTTGTACAGCTGATATGATTTTTTAAACTCTGGAGTTTCTCAAGTCTTCCATTTCTTAAAAGGTAAAATAAAATTCAGTCATGTGGCCCTATTTGTTTTTCAGCAGAGCTGAAACTTTTGATTCACTACAACAATTTCTGCTAAATTGGCATTGTTCTGATGGACTTAAAAACACAGAGAAATATTTAGATATGAACATCGAATTCAGTATCAGAGAAAGTATTCTTGTCATTGGGCTGTTGAGCACATGCTTTCTAGCCTCTCCCTATCCTCCAGAACACTCACTTTCCTCCAACTTGAGAGCTATTACCCAATTCCTGTTCATTTTTCCAGCCAAGTTTCTGTCCATCCATGTTGCTGGTTTTGTTGTTATTCCCAGTATATTGCACCCACTCCAGATTTTTCCCTAGATTTTCTAACACAAGCAAGGTACTTCCATCTAGTTCTTCAAGGTGTCTTGACACTGAGATAGCAGCTGGGCATCCCAACTGATGCTTGGTTTTATAGCAAGGCTTTCCTGTAGCAGGGAAGGAGCATGGAATAAAAACTCCAGCTCCATCTTTGTAACCCCCATGGAGGACTGTGTATAGACTAACAGAAATGCCAGAGCAACAGATGGAGGAAATAAGCTGCCTGTGGCATTATCTTCAGGAAAATCAGGTTGCTGGTCCCTAACAGACCTTCCTAAGCAAACTGCACACTTATTAAGAAGGCCACAACTGGTAAATTTCCATGAAGTCATCAGCCCCAGAGTAGGAGGGTCTAGCAGAAATGGTGTAAAAACAAAGGTGAAATCAATGATGAGATGATACGTCCTCTCAACTTGCTCCAAAAAGCATTAGTGTTCAAGCCTCTTCTTTTTCTACTTTTTTCTTTTTCTTAAAATCATTATAATTTTCAAATTTATTGTAGAGATTTTGAGGTTTAAAAATTCATCTGTTGCATCTTTTCATTCAAAAATTTTCCTATGTGGAAAAGCGACAGACTATTTTGGTGATATAAGGAAAGAATTATTTAACTGCATCATGGTAGGAACTGCACTGCACCATCTCATCTCATTCTTAAATTCTGTTCTACCTAAAATGTTGTGGTTTAATATTTCTCACTTTAACACTCAGTTGTTTGAATATTTCTGAGTTGTATCAGAATATAAGTGCATATAACTGTATCGGAAAATAACTGCAAAATAAGATGCACGGAGGAATATTTTTTCATTCACTTCAAGGCTTGCTACAAAAGCAGTGGGAACAAATCAGCAACTAAATTTTAGGAAACTGAGGTCTCTCTTTGTTGGTCGTGGCTGTATGAAATCTCTTTACTTCTCCTGTGCAGCTACAAGTAGCTGTAACTTCCCCACACAATTCCTGAATACTTCCTTACACATTGTTTTCATTAAAAAGAAAACCACCTTCACGTGTCTAGCATGAATGAGGAGGCTGTGACTTGGGCAGATGCTGAAGTTTTACTTCCTTCAGCCTTTCCAATCCAAATACATTTCCTAGAACAAGTGGAGTAAAATTCCACTTACACAGCAAAGCAAATAGCTTTTCCACACATTCTTTTTAGCTTACCGGACTTTTTTCTTTTTCTGCTTTTGAGTCTGGATCATTTCTAGAATGGCATCTTCTTCATAAATATGTCCACAGACCTTGTTCCGCACTGGCCTCTTCATTGTCACCTGTAATCAGTAAGGATTGATTTAAAGGAACTGATAATGCCCATGAAAATGCTTCTTCTGAGATTTTATGTGAAACAGCAGGAAGTGTGTTTGCCACTCATACATGGAATTCCAGTCAAATTATGGGATGAGGTCCTGCTTGGTAAACTACATTCCTACTTACATGGGTTTTCTTCCCAAGCAGTACTGCTCTTTTCTGAAAATGCTTAAAATTTATAATACTGTTGTTATATATAATGTTGTTTAACAGGTACTGCAGATTTGTAATAAACAAACCAATGAAGAATATGAAATAACTATTTCCCTGTCAATTACTGTAGCAGTGATACATACCTGTGTAATGGGACAAATAAAGTTCATCTGACTCCGAGTCACAGCTATATCTTCATCGATTTGTTCAATGGTGTCATTACCATGATCTGATTTATGAGAAAGTAGAATGGGAAAAGAGAAAAAAATGTTTCTTATTTAATGTAGATTGCCAATCTTAAAATAAGCTAATAAAATCCAACATTTGCCAAGTATTATCTCACAGTGATATCTAAAATACCACAGAATGTTTCTGCACCACTCCGTGAACAAGGCACTGCAAAAAATACTGTACTAGAATGTCTTTTAGAAAATGTGGATTTTTATATTGTAACCACTTGTGTGTGTGTGTGTGTGTGTGTGTGTGGCTATTTACAGCCAATGCCAGAAAGAAAGGCTAGGAAGAAGAGCAGACTGGCCTGAAGATATGCAAAGCCTTTGGTATTCACTATTCAAGTTCACCAAAACCCAGTTACACACAGATGAGTCCCCAGAACCTAACAAAAGATGAGGTGGAGCAGATGTGGCAGTCCTACCCTCAATATCAGTTTTGTGTTTGAGTGTCATAAATGGGTTTGCTGGATAGTCTGTACATACTGTACACACTTTACAAGGAAATTGTATTGTTTATCATAATGCATCATTTATAAAGTGATGCTGTTGTATTTTGATAAGACTATAATTAGTCAAAAACAAAAGCCAAAAAGTGTCACAAACAACAGAAATGTTATAGAAGTAACCTTAAAGAGGAGGGGCAGAACGAAATTCCTGACTATTCCCAGAAAACACCCAGTGGCCCAATGCCAGGGAATCAAGGGCTAACAAATGAGAATAAATCCATCTAGAGCTGGAGGAGCTGCAGGTCCCCACCTTTACCAGAAGAAGAAAGCAAGGTATAAACAACTCTGTGCATGCAGGGGCATACCACCTAGTGTTCCATGCAGAAGTTAGTTAGCCAAAGTCAAAAGCTGAGACACGGGAGCAGCTAAGGAAGAGAAAATATGTGTGTATATATATATATATATATATTTATTTATTTATTTATTTATTTATACATATTTATATATATTTATAGAGAGAGAGAGAGCTAAGTATAGCCTTAATGCTATACTTAGCTTATACTTGCTTACTGTTGTTTTATCTTCTAGCTCTCCTCTGTTATTGTAAATGTAGGCTTTTAGTTGAATGCATTTGTTTATCTTTGAATCTTATCTGGTAATAACAGCAAACTTAGCACCTGCCATAGCTTTCCATTCCTTTGGGGTAGTTCTGCAATGCCTTTGCAGAGAAGAGCCCTGGGGTGCAGTCCTCAAGGTGTCCCAAACAAAGAGAATGTTCTTCTTTCTAGCTGCACAAGCTGCACCCCAAGGGAGGAGTGAGAAACACAAGTGAACACGGAGAGTTTAGAATTACTTCATGATTTGCTTTCTACAGTGCCTCAGCCTGGGTTCCCTGTGCTTCTGTTGCACACTATCAGCCAATCTTTGCCTCCCTGGTATTCAGTCTTCCACATCTATTAAGGACCAGTATTTCCTAACTTATGGTCAGTCCTGCATGCCTGTGTGATACCATCACCTTCCGGATGATACCAGCAGACATCACCCGTGGAGCAACCAAAACCTCTCACACCCAGCCTAGGCTGAGCTCGCTGCCCTGTGAGCCAGCACAGCTCTGCCTGGGCACTCCTGGCATTGATGTTGCAGCCATTGCTCCACCACAGCACCTCTTGGTATGTCAGGCCTATTTCCAGACCTTCCTCCTTAAGAGAGCTTGCCCTTTTTTCCATTTCAATATTCCAAGCATTTAGGAAGGTTTCTGACCCAGGTGCTCTAACCCCAGGTATTGGGGTTGCAACTACATGACCTTAAAGGTCCCTTCCAACCCAAACCATCTTATGATTCTACTCCTGTGAATACCACGGGAATACTCAGGCATTCATCAAGGGTATTTCTGTGTCTGCTACTAAGGTCTCATGCAATCAGCAGGGTGTGGAATCTGGGGGGAAAGGAGCTCAAATGTCCAATGTCAATCATAATTTCAAGGCTTTAATATCCAAGAATATTAAGATACCTTCATCAGATACTGACCACCTAACAAACACTTGCAAGTCATAATACCAAAACTGTATGGATACCAGAAATGCACTTGTGTTAGTTACCAGTTTTCAGAAAAAAGCTCTGTGACATATTATTCTTAAGTTGCTCATATATATGGTTTATTCTATCATAAGCACGTAGTATTTGAAGCAAGCACAACTGTTGCAGGGAAAAAGGTGTTTTTTAAATAAAGCTTTTGAAATATCAAGCAATGGGTGAAATCCCACTAAGACAGCAAGACTAAGCAATATTGGGGTTATAGGCAGGTGGCAGCTTTGGTATGGGCTGTTTTACTTCAACGTCATAATGATTTTTTTTTTCTACAAGGAATGCCAACAAAGAATAAGAGATTCAGGTTGTCCTTAAATTCATGTATCTGCAAATTTTGACATATTGCAGCTCTAATCTTTCCTGTGGCAAACATCACATTTTTCTATGTTGTACACTGTTTCAACCCATGAACTTGGCATGTAATTCCAATGTACCAGAGCACCACATCAGTCAGTGGCATTAAAAAGCATCAGTAATAGCAAGATCTAGGACAGGGGATTGTTTAAAAAAAACCCAAAAAACTCTGTAAGTAGGTGCCAAGGAAGGTGGGTGAATTTTTTAAAATATGGGGCTATGCCTGTGACTTTACTTCTAAAACCCAACACTATAAAATAGGCATGCAAGTGGCTTTTTCTGGAAGAGTATTCACCTGTGGAGCACCTCCAGACTTTGCTGAAGAGTCACCACTTCCCTCATCACTTCCGTGTATGCTTACTTAGGTACCGACACAAGAATTTAGGAGACTATAGTGAAGCATCCAAGTTCAAAAACAAGAGCTCAAGCTTGGGTACTGGTGCTTGAGCCGCCCCTGAAGGCCTCGGGTCTCTAAATTATGTGAGCTAAATCCGTGTAACTGGGGTAACTTTTTCCCATACTGGCTTTGGAGGTGATTGAGATGCCTCATGTTTAATGGTTGAAATTTCATGAGTTGAGACCTAATCCTTGTAGGTGGGGTATATTAATCTTCTTGGATTCAAACTGTCCTCTTGCTGCAATCTTATCTTAAACACTTCAAGTTGCATTTCATTTGCAAAGATTTTGTATACAGCCTATCAGAGTGGGGCCCTGGCCTCAAGAGGTGATCACAACCCAAATGAATCATTATTTAAAATATTTCCTTTTCATAAGCAGCTAATATTTTTAAAAACAAATATGCAAGACTGGGATGATGCAAGTAATACCTCAAGCATGTCAATAGCAAATTACCATAAATCAGATAAACCACCCACAGATTTGTTGTTATTGCTTGATGGTCTATATTACAGGAGAAGAAAGGAAAATCACTTTTTTCAGTGACAGTAAATTTTGCAGACATTACACAAGACACACACACATCCTAAGCTGGTCAGAAAGATGCCCTGAACTGTACATCTATATCTGTAGCCTCATACTGGAAGATGTTTTCATTAAGGTCAAAGGGATTTTTTTTTTTACCAAATGAAATGTATGAACATTTGGAGGATCTAAATTGCAAGTCTGAGTATTCCACAGAAAGAAATAAAAACATTGGATCATACATATTTCAGCTAAGTCAGGTTATATTTTTATAAAACTGAGTTTTCCTTGCAAATTAAAACCAGACGCACAAAACACTAAGTTATTGTTCCCAAAATTCAGATGTTGCCTTAAGTAACAGAAGTGCATACATCTATTTTGGTAGTCTGAGAGATCACATATTAAGTGCCTTAACAGTTTCTAGTTTTCCATTCCAGCCAACTGAAACATGTTATGAGTATTAGTAACACATTTTCTATCTTGCTATCTCAGCAATGATGTTTACAGCTGTTGTAATAAAACTGCATTCTTATAAAGGTATCTATTTTTGGTAACACATCATAATGAATTTTGCAACTGCCAAGGTTTTTTTTTACTTATTCAATTTTAATTAAAAGCTGGTATTAATTTATATCTCTATCACTTTCATCTCTTGATAATATTGTGACTAACATGCCTTTGCTCAGTTTTTACTTACTCTGCTGAGAGAGAACTTTTAAGCCAACTTTTAAAAATAGGAAAACCATAGTGCAGAGACATTAACTGCTGGACTGGGAGTTATACTAAGAATGTATAATATACATGTTAAAAAAACATGAGAGGAAAAATCCTCTCCACTGTCATTGTTATTTCTGTGACCAAGAGACTGCTGTCTGCTCACTGCTCCCAGTGTCAGCAATGACCTCTCCCCAGTTTCTGTTTCTCCAACCTGGTTCTCAGTACATGTTGCAATGTAAACTCAAATGATTTCTTTCCTTTTGTGCTGGGCTATTCTGCCTTCTCACCTGCCACAGTCAGACACTAATCCTGAGAATCAAAGGGTAACGTTAAGCATGTGGGATTGAGTCTTTGTAAGCCTGAGCCACCAGACAGACAAGGTCTTGGCTCCCAAGAGGGTCTATTGTACTGCTGACTCCATAGAAATAACAGCAACTCATCCAGGCTGGGAAAAATCCTATCTCTGAGAGCTCCAAGAAAAACATGAATGTTATGAGGACAAGTCAGATGCCAAGTGCTTCTGCCAGCAGGGCACAGAAAATAATGAAAGGTGGGGGAGGTGAAGGACATTGTCACAACCAAGAGTTGTGCTCTAGGAGTCAGAAGGCATCTGGGGTGAGGAAAGGCCAGGGCCAAGTCTAAAGGAAGGACCTGACACTGCTGAGAACACCAGGTAATGCTTGAAAGTGGGTCAGCATGCCCATCACTGCTCTGAAGTTGGGTTAGCCTTCTGTCCAGAGAAGCAGACAAGAACAACTGTCCAGTGTCCTTCCCTAGGGATGGAGCTGCAGTAAATGCTGTAGGAGTGAAAGAAGAGGGGAAGCAGAGAGTAATACCTTCCTGGCAAACTCACCAGTCTCTAGCACTTTGTGGCCAAGGACTTCCTGACTCAGAGGTAATATCTTCATACTTAATAAGCCCTGGAGTTTTCCTTCAATGAATTTGTCTAAACTTGGAAAGGGGAATTTGGT